TACGGCCTCGTGAGAATTTTAGCGATTAAACTATTAACTCGGGAATCACGTAAAGACATTCACCCTACAAGGTTTTGAACCCAGCTTTCATGCGCTGGTGCGTGAAATTTTTAACTACTTTCCAATTTCTGAACTATTTTTGCATTGTCTAAAGTACAAAGCAGTGAAAATCATTAATAGGCAATCGTTCGATGGGCTGAATTGCACAGGATGCATGATCGCACCGGTTAGTCTGGTGCGCGTTGCTATTTATTTCCCTTTCATTTCTTTTTCCCTTCCGGTGTTGTTATATTAATCACTTTTCCTCTGTCTTTTATTTCAGAATACAGTCGTCTTGCTGTCGTTAAAAATTCAATATTTACTAACTTCTCTCTGCTGTCGACTTCGTTCTGCTGGCTCATAGGCAAACGCGCTTGATTTAAAGGTTGCTTTTTGGAGGATATCTTCTCCAAAATTTCGAGTTGCTTTTTACGCTCATCAGAAACAGAAGCTTCGTTCGGTTCATACTGCAAGAGAGTAATTTTCAACTAAGAGAATAATCATTAAAGCACGTGGAAAAAAATTATGCCCGCAGCCTATGAGGCTAAAAAAAGCATCCAAACACTTTAGGATGAAAAACTGAGCATTAAACTTGGGATTAACCTTATGATGTTTGCCCGTTTTCAGTAGTTTTTTCTCATTTTTTACTTCTGGCTGGAAAGCACCGTGTGACGCCGTTGCAAAGCGAGCTCTATTGATTTGGTTCACAAGCTGCAACCAACAAAATCGTTAATATCGCAATCCAAGAACCCTTCTACATCGTGTGGTTATCGATTAAAAAAGAAAGCGAGCTCTATAGAAAGAGATTAAAAAAAGAAAAAAATAAGGTCAAAAAAAGTTAATTTCCGAAATTCAGAATCTTCGGTAGGAATTTAGGACAAACTGGAAAGTTTGTCACCAAACTCTGTCCAATCCTGATTGGTACTTTTATAATGGAAACATAATTATTCACAATAAATTTTATATCAACTGGACGCCTCACAAGTTGAACGTGAAGATCAGCAGAGTTGGCGAGTTGCGTAGAAGTAATACTTAGAAATTTTTGGAATAAAAAAATACTAGTAACACTAAAGTATAAACAAGTACTAATAAATGGTACTTGTATTAATAAGTGGTACGCATCAAGAAGTAAATGATAATTAAGTCGGCTCCGAAGAGATGACATATATGTAGCAGTGGCTAACAACTAAGCTTAGAACCGAAAGATCTGGCATAAAAGCATCCCCCAGTAACAGCACTAACATCGGGTCCTTGTATGGCCTGTTCGGACTTGTGCTAATAATCGTGATAAATTTGCATATTTAATACTAATTACACGCGCACAACAAAGTGTGTGAGTGAGACATACCACACACAAACTTTAAATATTCAAACCTCATGTCTGGTGCGATCATTCAGTTCGGCAGTAACACCCAGAGGAGCTGTATTTGCTGATGAAATGTTTGTTTTCGAGCGAGCAATGTTACGCAGACGTTGCATCTCGTTTTTATTCACTCTCTCTTTTTTTGCTTTCATTCGCTCTTCAAAATAATCAACCATCGGATCTGAAAATGCATTTCAGTCACGAAGCGAACTTTCAGGATCAAAAAAAGCTCCGAATTTTGAAGAAAGAAACTACGAGTGTTTTAGAAC